GGGTGGCCCACAGCCTGCAAACAATGTTTTCTGATCGTCCGATTAATCGTCCTTATCGGTACTTAGCACTTGATTAGGCCCTCCGATTCGATCAGAGCGATCAGAAACCTGATCGTCCGATTAATCGTCGATTACTCGCGATTAATCGTCCGATTAGGTCTCTTTGCCGATCAGCACTGATGATGAAGATGATGACCATGAAGCACAAGTTCAGCCAGATGCATCTAATGCTGAAGTAGGAATGGAGGTGGATGGAAACTCGGGTGGAGATGGAGGAGGAGGCTTCAATTTGGATGATGATTTGCTTATTTAGATTTAGATGGCTGCTGAATGCTGATTGAATGGCAGCTAGTGTTATCTTAAAAACTCTGAATGTTGTTTGCAGTGTTTAATTATTTAGTTTGTAGTATGTACTCAGTACTCGTACTATATTAAGTAAGCTGTGGACTATGCTAGTTTTCTTAATTCCTACTTTTCTGGATCTGGATTGAGTATGTGCTGCTGTAATGCTGTCAGTCTGTCACACTATTCTTTTGCATCTACTTACTCAAGTTATCTATTATTCCTGCAGAAAATCAGCAAACATATGGAGGCTGGGACAAGAATATGGAGTCAGATCTCATAGGTAAGTAACCAACTAACTAGAAATATGCTCGATGTCTACTATATAAATATATAGTATATGGTATATTATATATATACCATACATATATGATATATACTTATATAGTCCTGCTATATGCTGGGCGATTATATGGGACGATTAGACCGATTAGAGATCGATTAATCGTCTTGATAAATCTAATCGGTACCGAACCGATTAGGAGCGATAAGCCGATCGAAAACATTGGCAAGCGCACTGGCAGCATGCGACCGACAGGCGTATGGGCGGTGCTAACCGCTGGTTGCTGCGCTGCGCGAAGCCATGGTGGTGCACCCTCCTCAACCTTCGTGAGGGATCTTTGGCGCTTCGTGCCGTGGGTGCAGAAGCGAGTATGGCGGACGGGTGAAGCAGCTGAAATCGGACATCGCGTTCCACATCCGGAAGCAGGAGGGCGGAGCTCACCCTGCGGGTCAACAGCGCCTTTCACGGTGACCTGCACCAGCTGAAAAGCCTGATCCTAAAAACACCGACTACGATGGCCGCTTCCCTGCGAGTACGAGCAAAAACGGCTCTTGTCAATTCAATCTGTCATCGGCAGGCAGTAAACTGAGATCAGCTCAAGATTGTGATGTTTCCATCTCCAGTTTCTTCCCTAGGATTAATTATAGCTACCAGTTTGATCATGTTGACATTTTTTTTCACCATGCCAGTTTGGGAACACGCGGTTGCTGGAGGCAGTGAAGCAGGGGCACAAAGCGGGTGGCAGCGCTAACCGCCCGGTTACCAAGGGAGACTCGGACTTCATCCAGCGCACACTAGCCTACGGCACCGACCCAAACTGCAGGGGACTTCGACCACCGCGCACCGCTCCACATCGCCACCGCCGAGGGCCTCTGCCTCATCACCAAGATGCTTGTCAAGGCTGGCGCCAGGTGTTCACCACGGACAGGTAACATCAAAGCTTTATCTAATTAAGCCAAGTTCGCACTTGTTTCTAGATTTCTAGATTATAATGCGAGTTTGGCGCTATAACAATGCAGCTGGTGCAGATGGGGGCACTGCTGGAGGGCTTGGGCAAACAAGCTCGCCATGTTCCCAAAGCACGGTGCTCTGTGTTCCCGTACCACCCGTTGCGGTGGGCACAGGCGAGGAGCGGCGCATGGAAGGTAGTCCTGTGGATCCCTTGACGCCATCGACAGCCTGGTTGCGTTGGCGCAGGAGAAGCTTCGACTTGCTGGGTCCGGCTTCACGGCAGCGCGGCAGCTATCCGTCGGCAAGAACAGACAAAGGAGAGGAGAACAGAGAGAGATGAGATGGGAAGGAAATAAAAAAATAGGGCCGGAGGACAAGGGGGTATTGAAGAAAAAAACATGCCACGCAGGCATGCCACGTAATCAAAGAAAGCGCTGACAGAAGCAATATGGACCTGCGGTGCACCAGTTAACAAGTTGGGTGACCTGTAAATACATTTTCAGAGTTCATGGACCTAAGTGGTACACCATGACAAGTTCATGGACCCCTAGTGCATTTAACTCTCAATAAAATGCTCAGTAGGGTCCTCCCGTACTGTATTTCCCCTCAGAAAAATTGTCTATTGTTTCACTAATCTTGATTTTGGCTCGCACACAAAAAAAAGTCAACTAATTGCACTTCAGGACTCACATATCTTAGTGAAGTCACAAACCAACTCAATAATTCAATCAACAGATGCTTTTCCCAATTGAGAAGGTGCTTGTGCTACTACTCAGTATATTTCAACACCAATGAGTAAAAATTAAGCCCACAAAATTGACAACCATGTGACATTGATTTTGGACACTACCCCAAATCCACATATTTTTTCCAAGGCCCTAATTGTTGATCCACATCCTATAGTAGTAGGCGTGCTAGTAATCATCAGGCCAAGATATCTTTCTATTTCTCTGATAGTTTTTTCATGATGATGACTGGCAATGTACTTGGTAAATGGTAAACCTTATTCTGCTAACCCACACTAGCTTGCTCTACGCAACCATGTTACTGCACATGCTATCCAACTGATTCTATCTATGAAACAGGTGGTTTTACTGGAAATGGGTGTTTTTTCCTGTAAGTGGGTGGTTTTCTGACACCTAGATTATAATGTGGCCTAAGACCACCTGCTGCAAGTCCCTCTCTTCTATCTTTTCTTCTTGCCACTTTTTTTTTCTTCATTCACACAGAAGCAAAGCGGTTGGCCATGGGAAAAGAGAGAAGAGAAAAGGACACGCTGCCCCAGGACATCATGGTGTTGGCAAAAAAGGAAAAGGAAAACCGGCAATGAAGGAAAAACTCCTGCCACATCACTCCAAAACCAACAAAAAGAGCTCAGAGATCAAAATCAAACAGTATAGATAATTAGGGTGCCAGATTTAAACAAGGGTTGAGGAACAAGAAATGGATTTATTCCTTGTTCTAATTCAAAATCATCTTAAAGCATTTCTTGTACTAGATCTACCAAGCGAAGTAGAAGGTACAGTAACTTTAAGTTTTGTTCTACAGATGCACTACTTAAAAGAATTACAGCACACAAAATGATGAGTTAAACAACCATAAAAATGCTTACTAATGAAAAGAATTCCACCAACAGGAACTATGAAATAATATAGAAACAATGAAATAGCACCTTTTGCAAAGGATACTGTCTATCTCCTTCTCGATGTTGTATACATCAAATATAGGTTTTCTTTTCTCATAAAGCTCAACTCGGCGGCAGAGCTCAGGTGCAACTTCTTGAAGATAGCTTGTAACCTAAACACAAACAGGAAAATTATATGCTTCACAAGATTTAAGAAATAATTCTGCATAAGGATTAAGGATGAATAGTACAAAGAAACCAACAGGGTAAATGCTTTGTATAGTCAAGTAAACGAGGTACGCCAAGATATTCTACAATTCGTAATCCTTCTTTATACTAACTGCTATGTTTCAAAAACGTCGCCTAGGCATCCAGGCAGACCCAGCTCTCCTTGGGGGTCTAGTTACACACCTTGTTACCCAAGGGTGGAGGTATGTGTCATGTAAGGGGTGCGGCCACACCCACACAAAAATTAAATAACAGTAGTAAAAGCCAAATTTTCACCATATTTGCACCCTCATTTCACAAATTCTTGCACCCACCCCTCGGATTTGCTCTAGCTCCGGCCTAGGCATCACCTAGGCGATAAGGCATGTTAGGCGGACTGATTGAGCACCCCTGCTGCATGCACGGCATGCATGCTTCTATGTTCAGGTGCATTGCATTGCCTGATTGATTTGCTCCCTACTGCAACAACTAGGCTGATTAGGAAGTATTGTATTCTATGTATATCACATTAGATTGTTGCCTTGTATGTAGCCACTGTCGCCCGTTCCGAAGACTTTCCGCAGCACCCTTGCTGATCCCAAATGGCGGGCTGCTATGGAGGAAGAACATTCTCTTCAGCAAGTGGATCTTCTAGCACAAGCTACTGCCTTATTGGACCGTGGGGTTCTTCGCGGCTTCACCCAATGACCCTGTGTTGACTATGGTGAGACATTCAATCCGGGGTAAAGCCAACGACAGTTCGCACTGCTCTGTGCTTAGCTTTGTCCCGCCATTGGCCTATTTATCAGCTCGATGTCAAGAACGTCTTTTTGCACGGCAAACAATGTCAATGTTATTTATATGACCGGCAAACATGTTCACCATCGTCGCACAAAGCACATCGAGATTGACATCCACTACCGTCCATCAAGAAGGTCGCATTGGAACAAGTTCACGTGCTCCACATCCCATCCTCCCACCAATTCTCAGGCATTATGACCAAAGGACTACTGTAGTCTGGCACGTGCCTTGTGGTATCTGACATTCACCAATGTAGCCGATGATCATACTCACTACCATAGTTTGGCACGCGCCTTGTGATATCTGACATTCACACGGCCGGATATCTCATATGTCGTCCAACAGGCCTGTCTCTACATGCATGACCCTCCTAAACCACACTTCACTTGGGTCAAGCATATTTTGTGTTCTCTTCGCAACACCCTCGACTATGGCCTCTCTTTATTTCAGACTCCCCCTACTGAGCAGGTGGTTTACTCTAATGCTGATTGGGTGGGCTATCCCGACACTCGTAAGTCCACTTTGGGCTATGCAATCTTTCTTGGTGAGAATTTTACCTCTTGGTCCTCCAAGCACCAACCTACTGTCTCCCGCTCAAGCGTCCAGGTAGAATACATGACATTGCCAATGGTATTGCCAAACCTACCTGGGTAGTGTTTGGTTGGATGTTTTGTAGCGGCATCTGATTACAGCGGCAAATGATAACGTTAGATTCCGTTTGTTTTGCCTCCACTATAAACGCATCACCCCGTAAAGAGATACGGGCTAATAGAAACCTGATACCGCTCAAACCTAGTTGTAATCTGTTCGCCTCATCTTCCCTCGACAGCGGCGCTTGGCGCCCATCCCCAATGCCTCCCCGCGTCCTAGCGTGACTCTACCGCTTCCCATCCTCTCTGCCTTCTCCAATAGTGCAATCTCGTCCTGCAGATGCAACTGACTGCGGTGTTCAGACCGCCGCTGCCCGCTTACGCCCGCGAGCCAGGGTGCTCTCATCTCGTCAAGGCCATCTGCGCGATGTCTAAGAATCCGATGTAACCGCCGGCGAAGAAACGCTGCAACTTGCTGCACAGCGTGAAGGCCTCCTCGAGCTGGCGAGCGTCGCAGCCACCTGCTCTGGCGCCAGCGAACGCCTTGTTGATGTACTACGAGATGGTGAGCGGCTCGCAGACCAGCCTCTTGCCATGGACGAGCACGAGGTGGATGCAACTGGCCGCGATGTGCATCCTCAATGCCATTAACAACTTCGGCATCTAGAGTTCCTACTACTCGAAGCAGACGTGGCCCCTGCGCGCCAAGCATAAAGATCTTGGTCTCGCTGTTTATCCGATTCCTTACGGACAAAAACCAAAAAAGCAAGCATTCGCTTAATTTTTTCCATTTGCGGCGTCTTTCATTACTGTTTGCGTTTACGTTTACACGATGCAACCAAACAGCACCCTTTGCTGCGTCAGATGCTTATGGAGCTTCACACCTCTTCAGTGAACTACTTTGGTTTATTGTGATTAGGTGAGTGTTGTCTACCTCTACAGCAACCTCGTTAAGCATCGGCAGACTAAATCTGTGGAGATAGATCTACACTTTATCGGTAATGCGCGCACTCTTGGTCATGTGATCATGTCCATGTTTTGCATGTCCCTACTACGTCGCAATTCACGGATATCTTCACCAAGGCCTCCCTACATCCGTCTTCACAAAATTTTGGACTAGTCTAAAGTTGACTTCCTCCCGCTCTGACTACACGAGGTGTTAGATGGATTGATTGGGCACCCTTGCTAGTGCTCATCTGGCACGGCAAATTGTCTGGTCTACTACAGAAGCATGCAAACATGCAGCTTCTATGCTTGCCTGAATGATTTGCTCCCTACGGGAATAACTAGGCTGATTAGGAAATATTTGTGTTCAATGTATATCACATTAGATTGTGGCCTTGTCAGTAGCCTCTACAATCATGCCACGATGCATATATGTACCACATCCTAATGAATGCAAATCATTGGGTGTTCTCCTCGAACTATCTCATGCTTGCCTTGGGTTGGGTTGCTTAGTCGTCTTTGAAATCATGACAACCTGTTTCAAAAATAACTTTTTTTTTCTAAAAAGCATCCCACATTATGTGCATTTTGTTACCCTTAGCTAGGAAATCAAAATAATAGACAGAAACATGATTGAGATTTGAACTACAGTCAATTGCCCATGACAGCATGTTTTATAACACTTTACTACAATTTAAGGAAGAAAATCAACAGAACCAATATTGAAGACAAGACAACCAGGTTTATACATTATAATATTATTTTAGCATGTCATTCATAGTGATGTATAATTAGTTAATGTATAAACAATAAATCAATGAATCACATATCTGTTTTGTTGAAAATAGTGATTTTTTACGAACTCAAGAAAAAAGTTCCTCGTCATTCAAGATACGGTGTTCAAAAGTTTTTTTTTTTTGAGACGTGTGTTCAAAAGTTAAGGAAGACACCTTAGCAAAGCATTGTCGTTGATTTATTGTTTATACATTAACTAATCAGAATCAGTTTAGATGAAACAGTATGGAATTTTAATATTAAATTGCAGAACTAAATTAATATCAGATATAGACCCGTTCATGTGCAAAAAAAACATCAAATAGATCTGTTTCTAGAGTTATACTGTTTAGGATTCCTAAAACCAACTCAGGCATGCATGTCAAGAGAAATTATGCAAATAAATATTTCTTCATGAGTTTAGATACCTAAGTGTTTGCTGTTATGAAGTTACTTACCTCATGATATGTTGAGGAGAATCCACAACCAGTCTCTTGACCTAAATGCAGAATAGAGTTTAAAAGAAAGATATTGGTTAGGTTAAATATCAAACTAACGTGAGTAGATTGTAACATGAAGTAATTCACCTTTTCATTAAAATCATCTTGAACAACAGATAAAGTTTGACCCTTTGCTCTGTGCAACATTACAGGAACAGCACCTTCCACACCCTCCTCAGCAGCCAAGGCAGCAGATTGAGCATGCTCAGTTATTCCTTTCAGGTAGATAGCAAGCCATCAAGGTCCTTCTGCAGTTCCTCCCAGGAATGACCAGCTGCAACTGTAATGAGCCGTCAAAGTAAATCCAGGAGGTCGTAGTACTTTAAGTGATGCCCTTTAACCTGAAAGCGCTCTATTCTGTAATCTTTTGGATACCCCAACTTTGTTGCCACGGGAGACCAGTATCTGCAAACTCAAAAGGTATACCGCTTTAGTTAATCCTAAAATTTCTTGCAAGTACTGTGGATTTATTTTAATTTGAGGAACATGATGAAATATAAAAAGAAGAACAATACTTGATCTATTGTTAGCTACCTGAAGAAAATTATGTACATTATAATATTATTTTAGCATGTCATCATGATGTATAATTAGTTAAAGCATAAACAATAAATCAATGAATCACATATCTGTTTTGTTGAAAATAGTGAAATTTTTTACAAACTCCAAGAAAAAGTTCCTCGTCATTCAAGATACAGTGTTCAAAAGTTAAGGAAGACACCTAACAAAGCATTGTGGTTTTCAAAAGGCCTTTAACTGCTTATTACTAGCCTAGTTGTTTTGTAGTTTTTCTATTGCTCAAGTTGTAGCGATGATGGTCCCTATTTGCCATAGTCACAACAAGACATATGTGGTTGAAATTTTGCTTGAGTCACAACCATCATGCAAAATCTGTTTTGAACTCCCTATGATTGATAAGGCAGAGCTCTTGTCATTTCCTTCAAAAGGAAGATTCTACTACAATACTTGTCAATTAGCACAGTACTTGAGTATTTCACTGTGTTATTTGACAACATCATGTCAGATCACAATTGGAAAACAATGCCTACACACCCCATGTAGGAATCAGCTACATTAGTCAATATATAAACATTATTTTCAGAAATATTTCTTTTGTACCATACATGCATATTTCAATGGCGTATTCAAAAGGTTGCAAAAGCACACTAACTTTAATTATGGAAGGGCACCAAGGCTAGCCCCATGATCATACATACCCAAAATAAACCCCATGAGCATGTGGAAATGGACTAAGTGTTGGACCTTTCAGGTACCTAATCCTTCCTTGACAACTTGAAACCATAACTTTTGTGCCTTGCAGCGAACTTGAGACCACCTGCTTCCCCATTTGTGTCATCATTAGATTCTCTTAAAGCATGTTGAATTGAAGATAAAGTCTTAAGATCATTGAAATTTCTGATTGATCTCCTTGCAGTATGTCCTCACTATATTCATCTTCCATGTGATCATTTTCTTCATCTTTGTCTTCGTCATAAACAGAAATGATGTCAAATTCATCACCATCGACATTGTTTATCTTAGCATCAGATGTTAGCACCACACCTTCTTCATTATCTGTAATATTCTCAACTGGAAATGATGAACCATCATGAGTTTCTTCATTTGCAAACTCGTCATCACTCATATCATCATCGTTTTCATAAGTTGGAAGGTTCTCTTCATTACAATAAGAATCATCAACAGGATCTGTTCCTCGGTTCTTAAAACTTGAGGATACACAAAAGGATTTCGGTTTTGCTTTATGCTCATAAGTGAAGGCCTTGAAATTCCAATATCTACAAATGCTCCTCCCATATGAGGAGCAAGCTTTGTTACTACACCTAAATAAATACTATCACACTGTACATTGTTCTTGATGGGTTCCAGCAGAGTTCAACTAGTTTTCCATCTTCTAATACTGCAATTCTCTGAATAGTGCAGACAGAGGAGTTCATAAGTATAACTCTTGATGAAGGTTCATCACCAGTCGGCTTACTCTCATATCAAAGGTGTTGGAGGTTTTCTATTTTCCTTAATTTTCTGATAATATCCCTTGCTTCTGTTTTCCATCAGCATGAACTATAGTTTCATTTAGTTCCATTATAGATTAAAATAACCAGGGCTCTTCAACAGGCTGATCCTGTTGATGCGTATTTTACTAACTCCACTCAAAGTGTGCTTATAATTTACAAACTTCTTTTGCCCTTTCTTATCTTTGACTTTTTGCAACTGGTTTCTTTGCAGCCATAATTGATTCAAGAATCCATGGCTCCTCTCACGACTTGAGACCTTCCATGTTGGCTTATATAACTGGCAGTTGGTATTTCAGTTACATAGTTGTGCATGATGCTAGATTGATTATCCAACAACAGTTCTGCATGTAAAAAGGTGTGCCATTCCCAAGCTTGAATATAATATGATCACCTGCAAATCCACTGGAAATATTTAAGTGTTCAGAACACGCTAAAAGAAGACAATTAACTATTACTTTCTAGAGATGTGGTAATGCAACATTACCTACAGATAAACCTTGATTTGATGTATCCCTGGCAGAGGTGATCTTTCACAATGCTCTGATTATTTCCACCATCAAAAGTTCACCTTCAAGAGAACCAGCTTCCATCAGCCATGATCCCCACCGAAGGAGTAGGAAGACCTGCTAGACTGGTTTTAGTCCATAGGTCCTTCACAACAATGACCTGCTTTTCTGTCCAACTGAAGGTATTGATAAGGAGTATACTGGACCTGGCCTCCATATAATATCAGAAGAGGAACCCATTTCTTCTCGAACAAAATAATTATATTTGAAATGCACTCCATATGGTACCTGAAAGAATAAAGAATGTGATGCTCCAAAAGTAAAAGAAGATATAAGAGCTCCAAAAAACAGTTAAATCAACATGGCATTCATCAAACTCACCAAATATTTGTAGAATTTACTTTATCTGTCCTTGATAAATGAATGTTTCCTTATTGAACTATTTTGTTTCTACAAGTAGTGAGTGAATTGTTTCTAATGAGTAGCTAGTGAACATGTCATTAGTTAAAACAAAGAATAATACAGTAACTACGGTTTTGTCTTATCGCATTAACCAGCACCAGTTGGATATTAAAAAAAACTGAGACAAGGCTCCTAATTTTTTGTCTGAAAAATTCTGAATAAGGAGACCCGAATTGGATGATAGTGTGAAGCCCGAGGGACTATACATAGAGTACATGAGAGAGGAGAGCAGGAGGAAACAGTAGAATTGGGAAAAACACCCTCACCCCCTTGGGTTGGGTGGCTTTCATATATATATAGTAACAAGTGACTTCAGTTATAAGTAAGCCACATACAATTAGACACCTGATAAATACATATCTAACACCCCCACCCACACAGCTTGATGCGTAGCAGGAAGCTCCAAGAACCACGATCCACTGGTTTCGGGCAGGCCTTTAGTCATAGTATCGCTTAACAGAAGGGCCAGCACGCTGCAAACATGAACTTCACCTAGAGGCGACCTTCTCTCGAGACGAAGTGAGAAGCTGGTGCAACCAGCAGCACTCGGCGCACGCAACGCAGGCGACTGACACGGTACTCGCTTCCGCACACTAGGCGAGAGATTGTGGTCGGCGCTTGGGCGACCAAGGCACCAAGGTGTCGCAGCGAGGTAAACGCGATAGCCCGATGTGGAGATGAGGAGTGGAGGCACCTACCCGATCGAAGAGGACCCGGTGCCAATGTGTAAGACCGATAGAAAGAGTGCCCTTGACATAGTGGAGAATCGTTTGACAAGGGATGTGTAGCTTCGATGAAAAGAGTGCCCTTGGCCTTGATGGAGAATCGTTTGACAAGGGCAAGAGTCTGCGCTCCCTAGGGTGCGTCCATGAAGAGCACACCTACTAGACCGCATAACAGGCAGGTGGTCAGGCGGGGTGTGAGCAAGGTCTTATGGCCAAGGCGAAATATGGTACTCGGAAGGATCGGCGATTGGGGCGCCATCTGAAGTGAGGCTTGGACTTTTGAGTCCACAGCGTCAGTGGTAGGGGATGATACTCACCGGACATACTTGACTGTTCGAGAAGCTCATGACATACTACTTAGGCTGCGAGAGGAATGCGGCCCATCAGAGGAAGCGTGCGGAGATCTTGAGGAAGTGGTGGAAGCCTTGAGGTCAGGCCCAGGCATGCCAGTTGATCACGATGTAGGAGGTCGGGAGGAGAGGTCGTCAGGGCGATGTCATCAACGTGGGCAGACAAGTAGGCAGCGCTATCTCGATTATAAATAGAGGCGCATTGGTGGTGAGCGTGAAGTCGAGTTGGTAGCAAGATCGTGGCAAGCCACCGGTGCCACGCCGCAGAAGCTTGCTTCGAACCAATGAGAGGACTTCTGCAACAAACAAACATGATTAGGTGCAGGGTGGAAAGCAAAGCTAGGAGGTTCTTTGGCGATGAAGCGGACTCCTCAAAGGCGCCATGGAGAAAGGCATTCTTGACATCAAGCCGATGGATCGGCCCGACCGCAAAGCGGCGTCTTTGACGGCAGCAGCGGATCATTAGCCCGGTTGACAACCATTTGAATGTCTCATCGTAGTCACGTTGTCTTCTTGGGGAGTAACATGAGCGACCCACCGAACCTTATAAGCGAGGAGCCAGTGACCCGGTCGGCGTGGTACTTATACGCACTTGGGGTGACGACACGATTGGCGCGGTAGGCGGAACAAAGCCACCAACTCTAATGAAATCAATCGAGATTTGAGAGGGTCCTTGGTGATCTCTGGCTTCTAGTTGTACCCACATGTCGTAGCAGCGAGATTGGTTGCTCGCTAGGCCAAGTGAAGCTGTGATCTAAGGA